CAGTCAGGGGCAGGGAGAAGGGGGATTAGATGGGTCAGAGGTTGGGGGGGGGGGCAGTCAGGGGACAGGCAGCAGTTGGATAGGCATGGGAGTCCTGGGGATTTGTCAGGGGACAGGTAGGGGGTGGGGTCCTAGAGGGGAAGTTGGGGCGGTCTCAGGAGGGGGCAGCTGGAGACAAGGAGAAGGGAGGCTTAGATAGGGGGTGGGGTCCTGGGGGGCAGTTAGGGGCAGGGGTCCCGGGAGGGGGTGATCAGGGGACAGGGAGCAGGATGGGTTGGGGTTTCTGTGGGGGGCAGTCGGAGGGAGTGGATGGTGGCAGGGTGGGGCTACCCTCCCTCCCTGTGGAGTGTCCTGCTTTTTTAATGTTAAAATATGGTATCCCTACTCACAGTGCAGCTCTCCATTCATAGCAAACTGCAGCATGAGGTCTCAGCTACCTCACTCCCTCCCCCTCTTTCCTGTTGGTAGTGACCAAGGGAATGCTGGGAAATGTAGTTCTTTCCCTGCTCCAGGGCTGGCTCTATAGGCAGGGAGCTAACCAAGGAACTACAGCTCCCAGGGCCCCCTGTTGGTTCTCAGCTCCCAGGTTGGATCCCTGCAGCCCCTGCAAATGGGCTGCCCCAAGCACGTGCTTGCTTTGCTGGTGCCTAGAGCCGCCCCTGACTTTAAACTATGATTGTGTAGTTAAAGTGACAAAAAATCAACCTCATGTAGATGCAGCTATATTGGTATAAAAATGTTTATGCCACTCTAAATTATTCCCATATGGGAAGAGGAATAAACTAGACTGGTATAAGACATTTTTATACCAATATAACTGCATCCACACTAGGGGTTGTACCAGTATGACTAGTTTGGTTTCAAAACAAAAACCCCACTGCTAATCAAAATAGTTATACTGATACAAAATTTATGTGTAGACCAGGTCTAAGTCTCAGACAGAATGTTTGTACTCCCCAGTTGTGGTAGTAACCCTATTGCATAGTTGAACCAAGAGACTAGAGTGAAACAATATTTCCTGAGTAAAACCTGTTTTTTAACAGTCTCTCTTTCACTTTTTAAACCTCTGACAGGATTGTCTCAGCATTTAGTTACAGACTACAAAGAAGTCATAGGACTTCTGGAAGAAGGAATAGCCAACAGGTATGTTTTTTAATCAACCTTTTTTCTGTTTCTCCTGTTTTTCCCAGTTTTGATAGCACAACTACTGATTTTTCTGACAATGTTACATGTTTGCCATTTAACTTTAAACAGAAATGAAGAATGATCTATGCGATGACATCAGGTTTCCAAATTAGTCTCTGAAAAAACATTATATATCATCACGTAGCTCTTAAATGGTTGTTACAAGGGCTCATTAAAATATTCTTTGCATAGATATTACTACAAAACTGATTGTATCCTGACTTACACATAGTATACGTATAATATTACTTTGATATAGGATCAAAAGTGAACCACAGCATTGGCCTACTAAACCCAGGGTTGTGAGTTCAATCCTTGAGGGGTCCACTTAGGGATCTGGGGCAAAAATCTGTCTGGGAATTGGTCCTGCTTTGAGCAGGGGGTTGGACTAGATGACCTCCTGAAGTCCCTTCCAACCTTGATATTCTATGATTCTATGATCTGTATGCTCCACATACTCCATTCTTCAGATGGTATAGTTTTCAATTCAGTTTCAGCATAGCTTAGTTTGTGACTACTGAAATCACAACACATTCGTGCTTTACTACAAACTGTTTGATGTATGTTTATCATGTGATTCAGACTGACCCCAGGGTAGAACTATTGTAAAAACAGGCCAGAAGCCATTTGTACCATCCTTTCCTATGGGAAAGACCTAATAAAAATAGCAGAAACTTAAAATTATGTTGGGTTAATTTCTTTAATATAAAGGAACACATTTTCAAGGGTCCTTAAACTAGCCTCTAAAATTATGATGCAGTGTTTGTACACAAATCAAGCAGATTGGTGTAATTACCTGATTTGGGAGCAAACACTGGAACTTTTGCATGCACAAAAAATAGTCATAGCAACCATTGCAAGCAAAACTGTAGGTGCACAGAATCTGCAAAAATCCTAGGTGTATAAAAACGCACCCACAATTTCTTGCTGAAATGTTTCCATAACCTTAGGGTGAATTTCACCTCTGTGCAGAGACCACAGCTAGCCTATACACCACATAAATTGTATTTTGAGGGTTTAATTGGTGTCTAGGCTAGGAGAGGGTTCTTTGCATGGAGCTGTTTTTCACCCATAGTGCATAAATAAAACAAAGCTAAGTATTTTTGGTTTTTGCACAGGATTTTTATTTATTTATTGGGTGGGGTGCGGGGGATAAGGTAAGGTTTGGTTAATATTCTTACTTCAACTTACTGAAGTCAGTGTTTTATTAAAGTTAATTGGGCCTGGATCCAACCACAGGGCCCCCATAAAGCACAAAAGTGCTTGTGACTCATATATGTTTCCTATTTGATTTTGATGCATAAACTTCCTTTCTGAATTTAGTGAATACTCACAAACTATTAGTAAACAGACACTACATATAACAATTCTGTTTTTATTTTAAAAATATTTTAAACTTTTATGCAAACCTCACAACACACTGTATGGAAAAAAATTAGGGAGATTATCATCCCAGTTAAATTCATGACTCGGAGAGTTATTTTTAATCCAATGATTTCGCTCTCCTCAGGTAGCATTAAGGTGGGTGAAAGGAATGTAGTTTGAAAACTTACAAATGCAGATCACGGTTTCAATATGAATATGAATCCAAACTATTCCCATTAAGGTAGAGAGAGGCTAGGGGTTCCCACAACAAAATTTTTGGTGGCCTCAGAGTGTGGCCACCAACTTTTGCTGGTGGTCGCTCTGACAAACCCATCTCTTTGTCCCTGCCTCCTATGGCCCTTCATTGAGAGCCTACTCTGGGGAAGGTGGGTCAGGAACTCACCATCGTCCGCCTGGGGAGTCCCAGGCTCACCATGCCCCAGCTGGGCGGGAGCGGGGGTGCTTCCCAGGGAGTGCCCTGGAGACTGAACACCACATTTGCCTCCGCTGATGAGAGCTGCCTCCAGCACCATGAACTTCGGCCCCATGTGTCTCCAGAGACACTGCCCGGAGCCCCCAAGGAGCTGCATGGTGCAGGGCGCCAGTCCCTGCTGGCGGTGCAAGCGCAAACAACAAGGTGACGCATCTCACTACCCTTGGTAAAAGCTATTCAGGAGCAACAGCTGGGCTCTGCAGGGAAGGGCTTTGATCCCCCCCAGTATCAACTAGGGTTGCCATCACTCCAGGATTGGCCTGGAGTCTCCCAGAATTGGCATCGATCTTCCAGTGACTATTGAAAGCAATCCGGGAGATTTTAATAGGATATTTTAAGAAAATGATATTGTCATGTTGGGGTGGGGGAATCTCTCGGAATAGCTTCAGTCAGAGTTGGCAACCCTAATCTCCACCCATGCTTTGGAGGTTGTTGTGGCCATAAAAAAAATCCACTGGTGGCTGCATTTGAGAAACACTGGGCTAGAACGTCAAGGACATTGCACACATTTTAAGCATTGTAAACAAAAAAATTTAAAAAGTATATTACTAAGGAAAAGAATGTGCAGTGGAATTTAATTTTGCCACTCAAGTCTTGTAGTGATCATTAGATATCATTTCATGATCAAAAGGGAGTTTCCCAAATAGATCTTCAATGAAATTCCATTGTACGTATTTATCAATGCAATCAGAGCATAGTCTCACCATTGCAGAAACACAAATAAAACATTGTACTAATAATTGTACTAATAAATTTATTTAATAAATTGTACTAATAAAAATGTAACCTGAATGCAAAAGAGAAAATTTAGTGCTAAATTTAAAAAATAAAACAACTAAAATTGCCTGTCAAAAAAATTAAATGTAACAATAAGCTTATCTAAAGTCCTAAATATCTAAAATGCAATTTATAAAGTAATCAGCAGTAAAACATAATGTTCTTCTTCGAGTGGTTGTTCACGTCCATTCCAATTAGGTGTGCGCGCTGCATGCACGCACGTCGGAAACTTTTCCCTTAGCAGCTCCTGTTGGGATAACGGGAGCCCCCAAGAGTGGCGCCCTTATGGCGGTGTATATATTAGCCTGCCGGCCCAACCCCCCTTCAGTTCTTTCTTGCTGTCCGTGGCGGCGTTGGAACGTTCTCTCTCGCTTGCAAGTGATCCCTTAGCCTTTCAGTCTTCTAGTTAGAGTTGTTCTTAGATAGTTATCAGTTAGTTAAATACCATTGTATTCAGGTGTCTGGAAGCTAGTTCCAGCACCAGCCTTGGGCTGTTGGGCATGCTGCAAGCCCAGGGTTTCAAAGCTTGCGCCATGTGCCGCAAGTCTATGCCTAACAGCGACCCCCACGACTCCTGTCTCCAGTGTCTGGGAGAGTCTCATCAGGCAGAGCGCTGCAAAATCTGCCAGGCTTTCAAGCCGCACACTAAGAAAGAAAGAGACTTTCGCCTTAAGCAGTTGCTCATGGAGGACACGTTACAACCACCGGCCTCATACCTACTGGCACCGGCCCCGGCTTCCTCGGTGCGAAGTGCCCCGGCATCCGTGTGCGACTTGGCACCGCCCAGGCACTGTAAATCACTGGCACCGAGACGGGATGACCAACCTCGGCGCCGGTCGACCTCTCTGGCACTGACTAAGCATCCTAAGAAAGGGGAAAGAGGGCTTTCCTCAACGAGCTACTAAGCTGCTTAAAGAAGCTCCCAGCACGTAAAGACAGATTGTGGGCCCGAGCCAAGAACTGGCACCATCGATTTCGGTGCCACAGGCCCTGTTGAGTCCGGTACCCAGCGGATTCTGTGCCGACGAATGTCTGGAGGAGGTCCTCGAACACCCCTCCACGCCCAACACTTTCGAGGCAGCGAAAGACCTCATTGAGTTGTTGGCGCCAAACCCCCTCCCGTGCAGGGAGAAACCTCCGGCACCACCCAAAAGGGTGCCATCCGGAGGGAAGCTGGCAATAGTGCGCTGCTCGAGGTCACCATGTCGGCACCGCTCCCGTTAGAGCTCGGCGTCCTGCTATTCCCCGGCACCCACGACCCAGCATAAGGTTACGGCACCGGAGGCGAACCTGCCAGTGGCACCCGCGGCGACTGCTTGCCGGTCCATTGGTCGCCTGGCACCGGAGTACGACAACCTCACCGGCACCGAGTGCAAGACACCGGTCCTGGTCCCGAGACTCCCGGTACTGTTCACGGTCCCGGCCAGCCAGGCACCACTCCCCGGCACCCTGTGGCCGCTCAACGTTCGGCACCACCCTGGTCCTCTCTGTCGGCATCCTCCGACTCCGAGGCCGACTCTGGTCACTCTAGCTACAGCAGACATCGAACCATAGCCAGCAGAGAATCCCAACCAGCATGGCAGCCACATTGGCCTCCTCCAGGCCAGTGGCCCTTCTGGACTCCATGGGCCTACCACCAGCAACAGGGTATCTCCTCTAGAGCCTTTAGGTCCGGGCAATCTATGCAACACCATTCCAGGTCGCCACACAGGCGCGCATCAAGGACAAGGGAGGCCACTCTCTCTCCAGGCTGCCCCCGGACCTCCAAGAGCAACTGGCGCTCTCAGGCCCAATACCTGAGGCGGTGCCAAGCACTGCAACACCCCAAGAGATGTCAGCCCTGCAGGGCCCTGAAGTGACCTAAGCATATGGGGACACACAGGAGGCTTTAGATGAGGGCAACCTACAGCACCTCACTTCCTCCTCTTCCCCAGACAAGGCGGTGGCAGGCACATCAGTCTCAGGACCACCACTGATCGACCACAGGGCTCACCAGGAGCTACTCTGCAGGATCACCCTCAATATGGGCTCCAGGCGGAAGAAACGGTTGAGCAGGAGGATCCGATGGTGGACATCCTGATGCCCGAGGGTCCCTCCAGGGTCGCACTCCCTCTCATAAAGACCATACAGATGAATTACAACACTATATGGAAGACCCTGGCCTCCATCATGCCGACGGCCAGGGGGGTAGAAAGGAAATACTTTGCTCCTTCCCAGGGCTATGAGTTCCTGTTCTGACATCCACTCCCTGTTTTTTTAAACTTAGTTGTTTCAGCAGTCAATGAAAAGGAACGACAGGGCCAACAAGCCTCGGCCCCAAAAG